AAGACTTACTGACCACCCAAGTGGCCGTCTTATATACCCCCCAGAGATCATAGTAATGGCGCGAAAGGATCAGTCGCCCGTATTGGTTAGATCAACAGTTAACATAACTTCGTATAACAAGGAATAAACACAACATCAATAAACATATACAACAACAATGTGTTACATCAATAATATACTATCAAGGGTCGATACTTCGACAGTGTCTGGAGGTAATAAAAGTAATGTGGTTCGAAGACTGAAGTGGGTGGGGCTTGCAAAGATGGGGGCGGGGCTGAGGTCAAAAATTTATACATCTGCCCTTCACACTATCTCTGATCACAAAGGTGTATAACTAAGGGATACCACTAAACTCCTTCAGAAATTAGGCTAAAAATTTTTTAAAAGTTAAGTATCCATGGTTCCACACAGTGGTCCCTTCTACACAAGAGTAAAAGCACTACATTAATTTCAGAGCTTATAAAATAAATTCTACAGTTAACCCGGCCAACAGGTGTATAACCTGTACAAGCGTGTAAATCCCTACAAATACCCAAAGGTGCATTTCTTTTGTAGGGTTCAAAGTTAGCGTTGCAGGGTTCAAAGTTAGTGTTCATGGCCACACCAGCCCAAACTACACAGGGTTCCTTCGACTACATGGACTGCAGAGGTATTTAGTTTGGATACATCGGAGTACCCCTCAAGGCCACACACAACCCCATTTCGCACCCCAAAAAAATGATGGCCGCTACAGAAGTGTTAGGCAAGGGGCTCAGACGACAAAAGTCTATAATGAAAATCAGAAGCTCACGTGGCTCCGTCCCTTATGGCTAAAGCCCCCAGCGCACGCAATAGCGTGCGTAGCCGCCTGGTATCATCATGATTGGTTTACCTTGCTCAATGAGGTCGTCAATGCATTTCGAAACAAAGTGAATAGCAATGTAATCTAGAGGCTTTGATGGACCCTTGAGGACTATTTTACCTGTAGATATTCCTGTGTTCGCAGTAATTCATAAAAAAAGTGTTGTCCAAAGCACCTAACTTCAACTTTACATGAAAGACTGTTAATCGGAAAAAGTTGCACCTCTCATCTCATGATTAGCCCGTCCGAAAATCGGTAGGCACTTGACACGGTATTTTACACTGCATGATCAGTACAGTACCCTGAAACTGAACAAACCTGTCTTGGCTGCTTGCTCAATATTAAAGCCAGGGCTGGGATCGTTGGGAAGTTTAACCACACGAGCAAACCGATCCAGGCAATTACCCACAGCAATATCTATGGTCTCCCCGAAAATACGATATCTGTGATGAGAATAAGAAATGACCTGAAACGGAAGTAGTCTCGTGTATGTGTAGTGCAAGTTGCAATGGCAGTTACCTGAGTATTTCCACCGCTAACGTAGAGCACCACAGGATTGTCTGCACCAGTCACAAGTCTGCCCATTTCAATATGGCCAATGCAGTGATTGACGGGAATTAAGGGCAATGACCAAGCCAAAGACAAGGAGCGCGCAACGACTGCACCGACCTAAATCTGAGTATCTTAGCTTTTTGAACTAATCTAGCGAGTTTAAACAGATACAAGATTAGAAACGAACATGCCTGCAAAGGAGCTCCCATTCCTGGGCCTTTAGTATATGCAATCGCATCAATTTCCTTTTCAGGGTGCTTGATGTTAGCTTCGTCAAGAGCTTTACCGAGTATTTTCAAAGCCTAAAATGAAACGCAGTGATATGAATGAATAAGTTCGAAAAAAAGATAGAGAGGCAACACAAACATTTTGACGATGATGTTGTGCAGTCTCGCTGGGTCTGAATCCTTCACCAGGAGGTGCATGAAAAGTTGCACGCGGATTAGACAGTACTTTACCGTCTCGTATTATACCGATCTACACAGATAAAACTCGTCTTTAGAAGTGAAATGAAATCAGAAGGGGATTTTCAATGTTATTAGTGCAGCGACTTACCCCGATCTTGTTTGCTGAACTTTCAATACCCAATACGCAAACCATGTCGTTGGTCAGATGAAGCGTCTTAACCGGAGGAGCTGCTGCCCTCTCTGAAAATTTGTAAAACATTTGTACTAGACCTACCGTAAGAAAAATCATTGCTCATCATTCCTAAAAAGGCTATCTGAGATGTAACATTATCATGGACTGAACAACCACAGATTTATTTATTATTTATTTATTCATTTTGCACATAAGGTGCGCCTAACACCCCAAAATGCCATTTCACATGTAATCGGAGCAGCATGAATTATAAAGCAAAAAATAATGCTGGTGAGTACTAAATGTCACAGCCACTCACCTTGAAATCGCGTTCAGAGGATCCTGATGAATCTTGCCTACTACCCTTGAAAGCTTCACGAATTCTCGAAGCGAAATATTTCCGATCCGTATGCTTTAGTTCCTTTGAGTAGCGCAGTAGATCACGATACAAGCAGAGAACCTGAAACAGATGCAGAGGTATTCTAAAATAAGGAGCTAGAACCAGCACGTCTATCTGGTAATAATTTCTATCGTGTGAACAGCTTTGGGTATTTGGTTTACGATCCTAACGTAAACCTAGGTGATTACGTGCAGGCCCTCAAGTAGGCCGCAATACTACATCCAGATGAACTCGACCGAAAATTCCTATTGGTATAATATTCCCGATTTTCTCAACCCTCGGGAGGAGGTGTGGCGGCAAGTGGCGCACTTCAAACCCGAATGGTCACAGATTCGAACCACGTATCGATATCCGCCCAGGCCAACCAAGCCCTCCATCCCCCTCAGACGGGATTGATTAACGCCAGAAACCTCATCCCCTACTTTAATGTTATTCTCAGCCCTCATACTCTGATAATTACGCAAGTACACTTGTCGTGGTGGCTCAGTGTCTACCACAGTTAGCTCCAGCAGAAAATGAGTACTACACTACCATTCACCTCCTTTTTCCGTGTTTTTGACTAAGACATATGTAATAACTGCCAAACTTTGGCTGTCACTTTCCACGAACACAATGATGCTTCCAAGTGCACGAATGTGGCGCAAATCTCACATGCTTGAGGCATTATCCGTACATGACTATATACGTTTGGGTGCCACCTTTTCCCTTTTGCTATGGCTATCACCCTATTATTCTCCTTATAACTACGATGTAGATTATTCATAACTATTTCACGGAATTTCTTGGGCTATGTTACTCGATGCCACACATCATGCAACTGTTGCACATTGAGCTTGGCCTTGCGCTTCACTTATCGCTTCAACTTCATTTCCTTGACCTTCTGCCGCCATTCCTCCAAAAACATACTTGCTAGCTTTCCGCAATACTTGTCTTCTTGCGTTGCCCACGCACTTATTATCACTTTTCTTTCCATCACTTCATCTATCGCCATTCGCGGGCCCAGCAGTTCTCTAGGGTCTGGCAGCCCAGATAACCCGTCAGCCTTTTCAAGTTCCACTTTTCCAGTTTTCTCAACTTGATATCGAACGAGTAAAAAAACTTAAAATTCGAACGGATAAAGAAACGGCGAGCATACATATTTTGGGTGGTATCACAAAGATTTCTGCGAAAGAAAACCCTATTGACATCTAGCCCAAATCATCTTCTACCACTCATTTTTTGGGAAAAATCATGACTCTCGCGACTTCTCGTTATCCTATTCACACGATCTTCACATTTGCCGTCTTTTTAATCAAGTGAAAGGCATGTGTAAGTAAAAGCTAAGGAATTTTTTGCTCAGACGGATGTAGGGCTTATCCCTCTATGTCGGAGCGAAGGTGAGGTGAAACCACAGAGCGCTGTCGTTGTCACACGCTTAGTTTCGGAGTCAAATACCGGCTCACAGTTGGAGACGCACCAGTCGAACATAAAGTGCATTATAAGAGCGGAGTGAACGTGGAGTTCCTGGTATACTTCAGAACTCTGCTACTGTGCTCTTACAACTATTTTTTGAGACCGAACTTCATCATCTGGATATGTTTGGGAAGATACTACAACAAACCGTGAACTCACCATAAATTCAGGAAATGTAAAAAATTTCATTGCGCCCCAAAATAATGCCCCATCACCTTCAGTAAACCCCACATTCTTCCTAACGGCTGCCTTGAGACTTTGCGCTTGCCGTTCTCAATTAGTCAAGTGTCGCTGCAACAACGACAATAGACCTGCGTAACAAATGCACGAGCTCATGCACTGCGTATACTAAAGCACACAGTCGCTTCCCTGCAAACCGCCTTACTTCTTCTGGGACAACCGAATTTTTGAGGATATTCAGTCATCACCTGTCTTCAAAAAACTAAGAAATCTTCATGAATATTGGACGAGCAATAAATCCACACCTCAACACGTCTCATAGAAATAGCACAAGTGAAGAAGCACTGGCTAAGAGTTATCCTCGCAGGATCTGCACAGATAACTGCAAGTTAGGAATCTTCAGAATTCACCAGACACCAAAAATACTGTTTAATACATATAGGTGTGCAACCCGATAACCAACAATCTCGAAGCCCACTCACGACATTTGAAATTTTAATTTGAATAAAAAGTCCCATACAAAATATGAAAATGTGACGGATGGATGGATGAATTAATGCAAAAGCAATACACGATCGAAGGCTACACGTTTCGTTAATATTACCGCAGGGTGGAGAGAAAATCTCCAGCTCAGGTTCAAACGGTATTTGTGGCATCACGAGAGGACATTCAGAGAATGAATGATAGTCCTGGTCAATCTATCACAAGTGAAGTAACGGTTAATGAACATGAACACATGAAAGGAGCTTAAGATCACAAGGACGCTTCAAGATGAAATACTATTAAACAAAGACGGTTTGTGCTCAAAATACATCGAAAGTAAGCGACTGGAAATGTCAGCACCACAAAAATTCACACAAACCGATCCCTTGTGCGGAATGGCTACTCTCTGTACATTAGAAGAGGCCAGCATGACATTATTTCCACAATACTTAATTTGCTAAACCTCAAGGGACTTGTTAAAATCAATGGAGTTAGATTGGTCCAAGCACAGTACTCAACTTCACCATCCAAAATTTGATGAAGTTATAGGAAAGGTAGACGACAATGAGATAAGCAAGCGCCCATGCGCCGTACATAATTGGATGTTGAGAGGCCTAAAAGGCAACAGACGTGAACATTTGCCCAGAGTTTTTCGATAAAAAACTTCGAAATGGACTTACGGTACTTGTGGTCATGATAGTTAACAGCACGCTGAATAAAAGGGCAGTGACTGCTGTGACAAGGTATATAAGAGCACGGCGTCGAGCAAAACCACCAACAGTTGAGCTGCAAAACGTTTGAAGAAATCTGACTAGAGCTTTTGCACTAGCATATAACACTAACACTGCGCTGTATTTGACTGACAATAAATTTATTTCTCATTGGACATGTCTGATTGTGCACCTTTCTGTTTGAGCCTTCTTTGAAAGTTTGAGCTCATCCACCATACTAGCCTATGGTATACTCGATCTTGTCTCAAGCTGTTTCGGCCGGGACTTCCCGTAAACCTTCATCATACTTTATATTTCCCTAACCAAACCCTGCGCAGAAATATCAATCAAGTAAAGTTACAGTGCTCGCTACAGCATGTATAGCCGTCCATAAATCCACAAAAATATTGGTGATATTGCGGATAACCCAACCGCCATTACGGTACCCTAGGAGTTCAACTCCTCTCATCTTCCACTACTTTCTTCTTTCATCTTCTTCCACTACTGTAACCGTTATTAGTGTTACAGCTCCACTTACACGTGCTCTGTTAACCTTGCCCACCCATCCTAAACTTCACCCGACCTCTCCATGAGTTACTCAGGCAAATTGGATTCGCGATTGACAGTGTGATAAACGCGAACCTTTTATATCTAGTAAGGGTAATATAATATGTATTATAGCATTGAAAGAACTGGACAAACTTCTTCTTGCAATGAGGACAATGTGCGAGACAGTTGCTCAGAGTGTTGAACAAGAATACTTCAGAACAGTGGACACATTGTACACGACAACTACCAGCCGGTGCACGTATAGCGCTTCCTTGAGGTTCGCGATGCCCTAAATGTTAGTTTGGGAACATTATCATTACAGCAATCTACTTATAGTAGGTGTAACAGAGTGGAAAATTAAGGAAACATTTATGTAAAATAGCTACTCACCAAGAGTGATGACACGTCTGCAATTACCACGTGGACATGCAATGCGAGTAGATGCTGCTTTGCAGATTAGAAGACAATTGCAAGGGCATCGCACATATCTGAAAATATTCTTGAGGGACTCAATTTGTTAGTTTGCACTCACCATCAAACTGATGAACTTATAATATGAAGCGACACCAAGAGATCACGTAAATTGCTAACATACTTCTTTCCCGCTGGAGCTGGACGAATTGGTGTGGCTTCATGACAAGCACTGCACTTGACAACATGTTGGTTGTCCCGACCATTTAGTTCGATTTGCTCCTCACATACGCGGCACGTCACAGTCGCACCTGAATGTTGTTAGAGAACCATGGATTCGGCTGGTGAGAAGAGGAAAAGGAAAAAGGAATTGGATAATATTAGTTCGGTTGAAAAAAACTTCGACAAAAATTAGAGGCGCTAAATTTGCATAGGTAATGTGAACACGACAGCAAGGGTGACAAACTTTGGGAATATTTAACGGGAAATCAATACATCAATGAACAAGAACACGCATGTGGCTCCCGCAACATTACCATCAATGATTGGACAACAAAATATTCTTACTATCATTTTCAATATCATCTCCAAGAGGGCACGCCAGAGGTAAAGCGATTGTAGCGGCTGGAGTTATCAGTGACCTGATTGATGAAAGTACTATTCAGCGATCGAGGTCAACAATCGGTTGAACCGCTTCACTGCTGGAGATACTAGCCCTTGAAGTAACGTAATCATCGTCTCATAGGTTTTTTCGTACACCTGCAGAACGAACACCCACAACGGAACCTTGCTTCAGAGACCCATCTAAAGTTCACCAGAATCGATTGGTGCCAAGTTGTCCATCGCTCATAGTCCCGGGAGCTTTCCTGATTAATCAGTCGAGCACACTAACGCGTGCGTTAAAGCACTGAAAGCGTCAAACAGACCTCAAATTTATGGTTTTGCAGCCCTCAAATAGTTGGCTCGAGTCTGAGAAGAATTATCAGCCTTTTTGAAAAGCTCGAGAACGCTTGTGTGGGCCTCGGTTTCTGTACTTTTTGAAGCAGATGTACGGCCTATTTAAGAGATTCCGCCACAATTCCTCTATTAACGCCAACCACTTATTTCCTGCATTCTAGGTTTTTGAACAGTTATGATTTTTCGACCTTAGTCTCGCCCACCACAGTCCAGACCTCGTAAAAACCAGAAACTTGACCTTTCTTGGAATCGGATTATGAGCTCAAGGGGGGAGTACCCACTGCTGCGAGGACGCTTTGGCGGGCCTATTTATTTTCATTTGTTGACCCCTCCCTCACCTTTGCTCGTTTATCCAGGAATCTGAACTGTTATGGAACCAAGTTAGGAAGCATCGCTCGTTGTACCGCCCAACACCGACGCTTGCCACGCTCTTAAAGGGAGAGCGCCTTTAGGATCACACAGTCTCGAACTTTGTGACAGACAGACAGAAGCGAGCGCGTTATACATAGTAAAGATATGAGCTCCGCCTTCTCAAGCACCTATTTATTGGACAAAAGTAACTTACTATGATCTGAAAATGACGGTTAGTGAATTTTACGTGTCACAATTTCCTGGTAATATTACTGAAGAATATAATTCTAATAATTGTCTGACTTAGGAAACTCTAGGAATGAATTCTGAATGTCTTTCTTCTAGCAAAGAAGTTTTTCGAATTTTTTTTCAAGTTAATTTTCCAAGTTAATACTTACCTGTTGGACGTCTCACGCTAGCGTCTTCAACATTTTCCACACTTCCGCGATGTGTAGCTTCAAGATCGTCACCTCCTTCCGAATATGACTGTCCTCGCTGATCATCTCTCAATAACGGAACGTTTTCATTTCCACCGCCTTCGCGATCCATGCGTTAGCTCCTTAATTAATATTGCTCGATTGAGCACTGGATAGAAAATAGCGAAAGTAGCGTTGCAATCGAAAATCTATACATACACACTCAATGCACAACTATGCCCATGGATACAGGTATTCAATGAATGCACAACTAACACATTAAAGATATCAATCTAAAATCAAAAAAAAAACTTTATAGCAGCCGCGTTTCAAACACCGTTCTTTTGTATTCATCACAAAAATATAAAACTGCACCGTGACAAAAATAAGATACAAATGTACTAAGCGATAATGAGACTAATCAGGGAGCTTGATCAGAGAACCATAGAAACATTGCAAAGTTAGTAAGCAAGTGAGTGTCTTTTACGGAGCAAGTATTGCATAAAGAAGAGATTTTTTTGTTAATACGCTAAGTAGTTACGTCGAAATCGTTAAGCTTCTATTGATGTGATGACAACTGCAGAGGAAAAACAACACAAAGAAAAGGCGAAAATGTTCAGAGATTGATAAAGCTGATGCTGTACATGGAACAACTCGAAAGAATATAAAAATTCATCACAAGGTGCAAAAAGAGGCGAACTCTATTGCAATGACTGAGAAAATCTGATAAAATAAGAAAAATTAGGGTCGAATGGAAAGGGCCACATATAGACATATAAACATAACGGGGAAGCATGAGAAAAAAAANAAAAAAAATTGTGGAAGCTGCGTGAATGTCAGCCAACAAACTCGAAAGACGGGTCGCGTTCTCCATCTCCGCCCCCTCCATTCTACAATGTAAACAGCATTGCTCGTCAATAAGGGGTAGATCAATGATAGAGAAAAACCCAAAGCTTGAAATAATCGAAAAAATTCCTACAATAATGAACTTTCGAGCTGCGTACCTGCTCAGCCACAGCCAGCTGTGCCATGTGGTAATGCTGCTTCCTCAGCTCAGCTAACCTCTTCCTTTCCATAACCAGTTGTTGCTCTAATTCCAACATACGCACCTTAAGACAATTATGGCCTCGGAATTCCACGTTAAAAAGTACAGAAAACTGTTAGAGTTTTCTATGAAAGAAAACTCGTCCTAGCGACAAACCTGAGATTCCATTTCTTCCTTTTTCGCCTCATGTAGGGTGAGATGAGAGAAATCAAGGTTATCTGAATGAGAAACTTACTGATAAGAAGAAGTAGTTCAAGGCTAAAAATCCGAATTCAAGTTTCGCTAAAGGCTCCATAATATGCAAGGAAAAATTAGGGAAATAAGCAAAATTGGAGAATTCAGCAATAGAAGGAATTCATGTGCATTCCTCAAATTAAAAAAGCAGAGATCATTTTTCATTTGGAAAGTAAAGGAAAAAATAAGAAAAAATGTAACAAATGTGAAAAGTAGCCTAAGAAGAGTGACTTTAGCGTTGCCAAGCACAGTTTTTACGCTTCTCACCCCTCTGAGGACATGATAGTTGCACTGAATGGGCACCAAAATAGAATTTCAATCGATGAGTAGGCAATAACGTTAAATGCACCTTGATCATTCAGAGTAGTTTGTGCATTCTTTACAGCAGCCACAACTTGAGCAGTACATTGATTGACACTTTTAGATGAAACAGATAGGGCAGCAAGTCTGTAACACATAGAATCTACGCTCACGCAAAATATGGGGTAAATGAAAATCATGAACAAAAATTAATGTTATTAAACATACTTTTGAGAATCTTTGTCGGCTTTAACACGGCTAGATACAAACAATTGTGCTGTGGACGCTGCGATCTCCTGGGCAGCGACAATGAGATGCTCGAACTTTCCTGCAAAAGTAAAAATTGAAGAAACGAAAGCGATCAGTCGATCTTGCATATTATCGAAAGAATTCTGACCTTGCCTAGTAACCACACCGTCAGCAGACTCCACTAGCACACGTGCGGCTACGCCAACAGCTTTTGCAGCTGATAGAAGGCCCTTAATCAAAGTTCTTCCTATCGAATTTGTCCATCTTCGAAACGACAATTATTGAACCATTGCTAGACCAACCTCAGTCCACTGGTGATTTCGCTTGTAGAATTCATGAGGGGAAGCACCACCTTTGCCAGCAGCAACAATCTCCATTTGAAGTTCTCGAGATGAGATAACCAACGCCATGATAGCAGACATCAGTTGCTGGCAACATCCAAGGATTGCCTCATTGACTTGCAACCTGAAATATTTAGTACCTGATGGCTGCCGTTTTTAGACTGAAGATATAATCAAAAAATGTTGTTCACGAATAAAAAACTACACAAAAGATCCCGAGAGCAAAAAACTACAAAAAAAAACCAATAAATTTGTAATCAAACCCATGAGCTCCTGGCAGCACGGAATTTACCTGATTCCCTCTGTATTGATGCGTGCTCTCTCTTGAATTTTTTCGATTTCTTCTACAGCTGCGCGAATTGCTTCACTCATGCGCATCATTTCGCTTTCGAGTTCAGCACCAACAATATCCTGAAACACATTTATACAAGGTTTTGAATGTAAACTGTAGTATATGGCTATGTTTCAAATCTTTCTTAGTGAACGAGTCAGTCACTCATCGAAAACGGCTTTATATGCCGAGCAGAAAATCAGTAGTTTCGTATTGGTGAGTAACTTTTCAAAACTGATCACAAGTAGAAAACCAACATCTGAAGTTACCTATTACTGGAATAAAAGAATTTAGTTTCATCCATATCGATATATTGGTCGTGCTGCTGTACATCACGACTTGTAACGATCGCTTAAGAGTGCACATAACGAGCAAACCAATTATTCAGTTGCTAAATGCCTTCTTCTACAGAAACTATGCGTCACTTCCGCAAGAGGCACTAGTGTGGTGGCGGCGAGACGGATGATTATAAAAAAAAAAGTCATTCGAGCGGGAAGCAGCATCGCGGTGATCATCGCTTACTACTCATCTTACAAAGGAAATTAACTTAGCCCGGCAAGGCAGAATAGAGTACTTCTTTCAGATGTAAAAATCTCCTTATCACATGCAGATTACCTCAACTTGACAAAACCTCACCGTGCCGCATTCTGTGACCCGCATTCTGTAAATGTCAATAACTGGTACACTAACCAAAATTCGAAAAATCTCATGAACAATTCACTACACCCTCTTAAAAATGAGGAATGCTATAAAAAGGGTTGCATGCTCAAGCCCCCCTTAGAAAATAGTAGGAAAGAACACGCTGTGTTTTTGATACAGCAGTCGCTGTTCTATCGACTCGGCCAAAATGAGCACATGGCATTTAACATTGATCTCCCGAATCTCTATATTTCATCAGCTCTAAGGGAGAATGACTACCATACAAATGCTAAAATGACATTACTTTGAAAACTCAACAATACGTGCATTTGAAGGTTCGACCAACGATCTCTATCATGCCATGAGGCTTTCAATTATCTCATTTCTGCCTTCCTTAGCAGTTTCATTATACGTGAGTGGAGACTATCGGCACTGAAAAAGGAGGAAGAGCCGTTTCGGTTAGCTCACCTTGTCCACGTCAGTCTGCTGAGGCAATTCGGCCATCATCCGTTGAAGTTTGCTTGCTTCCAAGCTTAACTGTTCGATATTCAACATCTGTGAAGTGAAAGCTTCCCTTGCTGTGCGTATCACAAGATGACATTGCTCGTTTACATCTGTAAAGATTTCCAAGGCATATAAAAATTTTGAAAGGGAGAGAATATCGAATTCCTGGAAGAAATTAGGCAAAAGCTCACCATCGAAGTGCTGTATGGAAGCCGTGTAGGCAGCAGCAGCACATGCACTGATAGACAGAACACAAGAGTGCGCCAGCAGTATTAAGTCGAGCACTGTCGGCGAATCTTTTTCACCCAATAGCAAAATGAAGGCGTTTAGTGCAGACTGCGCAAGATCTGGGAACGATCAGAAGTAAGAAAAATCGCATTGATATCATTGAAATGAAAGAGTGCAATGAATACTTTCAAGGGAAAAAACGCACGAGGAGGATAGGATATGGAGGTGACATTGGGTAGCTCTTCATCACAACGGAGAAGAATTGTTGACACGGCTGCGCGGATTCCTCCTGGAAAACCGAACGATAATACCTAAGCAATCCGAAAGAAGATATTTCGTAAACAAGATCGTAACATTCGAAATCCAACGTTCAAGAAGAACATTTCGTAATATGCAAAACTATGCCCTCTACTAATCTTCATGCGATCAATACAGAAGCAAGACATTTGATACTATTACTATAGCGTATTAATCGTTTCTCGACTCTAGCAATAGAAGGACGATCATAAAACGAGGAAAACTATCAATGAAACGATGATCAAGCCAGATGTGGGAAAAAGTAGAACACAGGAGGGAAGCAGGAAGTTACCCAAGAAGGAAATAACAAAGTTACCCGAGAAGAAAACATCGAAACTACCCGAAAAGGAGAGAAATAACGAATGACTATCGAGCAAGACAGAAATATAACAAGCAATCCCGATTACTGCCTACACTGAGAATTTACCATTTGTTCCCATAACTCAGTAAAATCACCAGGAGCCAGGGAACTTTTGGACACATCAATGATTCGTAGATAAGCGAATAGGCTCTGGCTTATCATAAAAACCCGCCCGTGCCCCCATCCTGCACCCTTGCTATCGATTTCTTGGAAATATCGTAACTTTCTGGGACAGACTTCTTACGAGGTAAGCGAATGAATAACATAGTTCAAAACTAACCGTCTATCTTCTTTTCGACGGCAGCTTTTTCATCCACAAAACGATCTGAAGCACTGACCAGTTCTGCCTTGTGTTCGGCCTTGAGATGTTCGAGATTCTAAAATCAATGAAATTCAACGAAAAACTTTATACTTCATACTGGACATGAGAAAGTTTGTGTTAGAACCGAAGCTCTATAGATGCACAAAAAATAAAGCAGACGCAGAAAGTGTGCTGCAGTACTTACTATACCAGAACCTTCTAGATTGAGTCAACGCTAATACTACAAACAGGGGCCATAATTAATATGCAGACTGAAGACTAACAATAAGTTGTGACAGGTATACTTTCAAATGTACAGACTAAATACAAATTATTGTTTACGTACCTGACGCAATTCTTCCATTTCAATGTCGGCTTTCGCCAGCTGTGATCGCAGCTCATCTACTGCTGCTGCGTCACCTTCTGCTTTAGATGAAACTAACGAAAGACCTTTTTCGCTCTCTTCGAGTTTTCTATTCAAACATGTTATCTGAAATCAATATCCCCTCAAGATCCGCATGAATCGAGGTCATCCTTTTTACAAACCAACCTCTTCATCTTTGTCCATCCTACTCTTTTCACTTGCTTCAAATTCTTTCTGCAATTCTCCCAACTTCGTAAGAGCCTGTAAACAGATATTACAAACTCACAGTAGACCTATTTATTCATCAAACAATGTACCGCAACATGTTCAGTTCGGAATTTCTCGTACGCAGCCTTCATTTTACCGAAACGCTGTTCGGCTAACCGCGTCTGTTCCTGTGCTTCCTGTACCCGCACGTCATCACTTTCAACACGCTGAGCATCTCTAGTAGCTAGATCGTCTAGAAGTCGATACAATTCTCACAACAGCAACATGCATAACATAACTTTTGCGTAAATGTCCACTAACTCCGTAATCGCTCGCACTCCTCACGCGCTTCGTCTGCTTCTCTTCGGGCATGTTCATAATCTCCCTGCATTTGAGTCAGCCTATTTTCGTACTGTTCGATACGAGAACGTGCCTCCGCTATAAGTCGTTCCTTGGCGAATCGTTCATCTTCGAGGTCCCGAGTTAGCGCCAATATTTGTTCATCTCTTGAAATCAAATTCACAAAACTTTGAAAATTCCATCTGTAACAATATTGGATATACAGCCATCGACTATTTCGCCCTCCCTGGTGCAATTTCGTGGCGAACAGATCAAAACGCCGCTAACCTTCGATCCGATTGATCAGAAGGTTGTGGTTGTTGCTCGTACCGCGGTTCGTCTGAGCCGAGGTCAAGCAAGACTTCATCAGCGGCAACCGATTGGCCATCTTCAGAACCTTCAGAATGTAAATAGGCGTGCGGCGTTTGATAGCTGTCCAGATCAGAGGCTTGGAGAAAGTTAGGCGCTGCCTGAAATAAAAGAAATGCTTGGATGAAGGAAATACTGTAGCGACGAAAACTATAAAACATACCGAAGGTAACGTAGGTATTGAAACTAAATATTTAAAGTATTGTAGATTACTAGATTCTTCGTAGAACTTCTTTGTCCTTCGGAAGACTTCCTAAAACCTCGTCATTAGGAAAGAGGGAATGGTTCATACTGGTCACAATCACCGAAATTTCATGGGTTAACGGAAATTTCTCGGATTTTTAGCTTATGCAAGGATAGATCACTCGCATGTAAACAAATTTAGAAAAAATCAAGTAATAATTTCTATGTGAATAACCCCACAGAATTTTCTTAGTAAACTGTTCAATAAACCAAAAATAGTGTGAAATAGACAAAAATCAATTAAATCGAGAGTCAATGGATCATGTAATTTATTTACTATCAATCACAATAATTATAGAAAACCTTGCTTGCAACATAATTTTACGGGAGAACCCTAGGTCAGAGTTAGTCGAAATATTTTGTAATGAACATAAGAGAAATCGGAAAAGATAAGCTCACCACTAGACATTGAAAGAAGTAGCTGTAGAAATAGCAATAAGCGAAAAAAGACAACAAAATCGCTCACCCTGAACCTGGCACGGTGTCCATCAAGTGCGTCGGGGGGCAATTGCCCATGGAGTTTGAAAATCATCTTCACAAGATAGTCGTAGAACTTGCTTGTGTCCAGTATAACTAAAATCAGTGGAGCGAGCAAACACTGCCCTTGAGGAACTAAGGAGCTCCACCGAAGGCACTCCATCGCATCGTACACTGCAAAGTCCATTCATTAAACGCGAAACATCCTAAAGCTACGCGAATATGGGATTTTGAATGAACTTCTCAAGTACTGCTCCTCTTACCGTTTGATTGCAAATTGAGCAAATTATCCATTTGATCCAACATATCGATCGTCATTTCGAAAGCGTTGTCTAAGTCCCCTTCGAGAGTTTTGATTTGAGATTCAGTTAGAATGAGACTGCCCGGCATTACAGGGTACTAGAACTTGTACATAGAGGATCACACCGAATCGACTAAAAGAGAGAATAACAACCTTTCTATGGAATTCAAGCCTCTCTGCCAGCAGCTTAGTGTAAGTCTCATTGCAGATTCCATAACCAGAAGTATTCAGGTGCTTCCAGAACTGACCGAGTTGCTTAATTCTCGATAAAAACCTAAACTGCGACAAGAAGTTGACTGAGCAGAATCAACCTTCAAATGAGCTCATCCAGACCTATGAGATTCCTCTGGTACTTTTCTATGTCCATCGCGAATTAACTTGTGTAAAAGGTGGCAGAACTATAACAAAAAAAATTGAGGTAAAGCCTCAGAACTACTGGAAGTACATTTATAGATTTTTCCTTCCCAACCTTCCATGTCATTACAGGGTTCTTCTCTAATTGAATCCGATTGACAGCATTCCAAAATACAGCCGCGGACCTTAAAAAAAACATTTCTGAAGAAGTTTGGAAACTTGTGACCAGCCATAATACCTCTCCTGGTGGGTGCCAACAATTAGGCGACGAGCATGCTTTGGTTTAAGAGGTACTTCATATTTTGTGAGTGCTTTGTGAACGGCTTCAAGCTACAAGTATTAACTATATAGAGAAAAGGAGAGTTCTTCAATCATAAAACACACCTGCCCTTTGACGAAAGCTTCACGGTCCATGAAAAGCGATAATTAGAAAAGTTAGCACGAATTCGTGGATTACTGCGGCTTGAAAACTTACTGTTCACCACCTCGAACTGAAATAGAATCACCAAATCGTATTCGTGGCTGAATTTCTCTGAACTGCAAGAGTTGAAAGACATCCTCGTCTGCCCTGGGGCGCAGTAAAAGAACATAAAATAAAGACAGATGTTCGAAAAGAAATTTAGTGCCAGTTCTGCCTTAAGCACAAGGATCAGCTCCTGGACCGGCTGATTCATCAGATGTTCTACCTTGAATTCCCCTCATGACCCACCGTAACTGCTCGTTGCCATCCCTTTAGTGGCCCTGCATTGGAGCACGAAAAACTACTCGAGCGCGGTCTTTGCTGTTGAAGTGGGGGAGTGTGCAGTTTGCCGCAGTAACAGATCGCCTTCATGAGACCAATTAATAAGCAAGACGTCTACCTATCAGCCCTAATGGGAAGTGGAAGCTATTCGGGAAGGAAGAATCATTGCTATAGCTGAACTGGAGTCTTTGATGAAGGTTGCAAGTGCTACTCCACTTTTCAGGACCCTAGGTGTTGTCTGACACGTCATCCCAACTCTACAGGGTTTAAAGTTTGAAGTTTCCCATGCTCAACTCTACTGCGTTGGAAAGCAGCTGATTTCGCGTCCCAACACTACAGAATTGGAACAGTACACCCATTGTCGGAATCCGCTTTACTATTGTTTCCGATACGAAAGAGTGCAAGAAAATTCGACAGAAAACAATTCCAACAGCTGCACATCTCGTAGAAAGAAACACTCGATAGTCGTTGTTGTGCCGTTGGCGGCAAACCGATGAGTAAATCAGTATTAGATTTCGAACACTTTTCTCGGTCGGGTTTGTGTATTTGCTTGGGAGGTGGGCAGTACGAACGGTTTTGTGTAATCGATCCGCCGTACGCGGCTGTCGCGAACTATTTGCCTCGTTATAACAATTTTAGCGTTCTTCATACAGCTCAATCGCTATCGCTATTTTGGCATGATTCTTTTGCTAATTCTTTTGTTCCTGAATTACTTACTCGGTGCTTCACTCCGTTACATTCCTTCGCGCGCGGCGTCTCCCACGACGCGACGCGACAATTTCGTTCCCACTGCACCACACCCACTTTGCTTTTACGAGCAGACTTGGTCTAACTAGTGGCAGAAGCTATGGGACAGTCCTGCAAAGTGCATTTCAAGAGGACATCGTCAGGTGGAACATCCTTACTCTATATAATCCACAAGTTTGGTGTGTCTGTCTGTATGTATTTATCTATGTATGTATGT